TCGAACCGTTTCCAGAGCGAAGTATTTCGATCTTAGACTGAAAAATGAAGCGCATGAACTACCCCTTTTGACCTAAAAGGTCAGCCCCAGTCAGTGCCCAGTTCTCTCCTCTCTTCTTTTGTTGGTTCCGTAGTTTTATAATTCTGCTGATCAATAGTCCAAGGGTCCAGCCCGAAGCCGATATTTCTTTTGTGTAGCCTTCCTTGCTTCCCGAGTGAGTGAGTGAGCGAGTGAGTGAGAGTGGTTTAATAATACGAATGGGAACCATCGATAAAGAAGGACTTTGGAGAATGTTTAAAAAGATTTAATCGAGTACCATGACGTTTTGCCTTTGTGAGGAGAGGACCTCAAGATGGACTAATAAATAATTCAGAAGAATACAAAGGAGCCAAAATATGTTCATGATAAATAAAACACCATCTTAAAAATTCATAATTAAATGGTTTAAGCATTAAAAGTTTAGTATGCAAACAAACATAAAATAAATAAGTAAAAGTAAAGAAAATAATTCAAAAACCTAGGACCGGTAATAAAATATTTGGAAAATGCAAAACAAACGAGCAAACAACTTAGCCGTCTTGATGCATAAGCCTTAGTAAATCGAAGCATAAACTTCACAAATAGAACTTGAGAGGCAGGTTTGAGGCATTTTATGAGAGCCTCACGTGAAGCGGTATTTGAGGCATAAGCCTTGAATAGTTTTATTTTATACAATGCACATTATCAAATTTCGTAGATTTTATAAGTCATTTTTGTAAATCCTCAAGCCAATGAGACCAAAATTGCTATCCCGTGGTGTCAAGACTTTATGGGGGGACACTGTGTTTCACACGGAAATCGAGCATCTCTAACAATTAAAAGATGGTTCAGACGATTGTGTAAAGAACAACATCTCAAGACAAAGTCCCAACGATTGGTGTTTTATTGATGAAGATTACAATATAAACGAAGCGAAATGCCTCCAAGAGGCAAAAGCACACGAATTCTAGAAGAAAGTAATTGAAATTTAACTAGAAGAAAATAAATAAAATTACATAATTTTCTGTTTGAGAGTCGTTTTGATCTTTTTTCTCTTGTAAATTCTTCTTTCTATTTTATACTCTTTTGACAATTTCTCTTGTAAAACCGTTTGAAAACTCCTGGAAACTGCCTATCGTCCTGTAACTACCCACTTTCTCCATCATAGATGACTTGTCAAGAAACTACCGTTTTCAACCGCTGCCATTACTCCTATCATTTAACTCATTGCAACCGAGATTCTTGGATTAACCAAAACAATATATTTGCCCAGATATTAGGGGTCACACAGGCTTAAGCGATGATAGGCTCGCCCAAATATTGGGCGTAAGGCGTCTCGCAAGCTTGAGCGAGGATGGACCTCTATTACATAACTCTGTCTTGAGATTTTATATGGTCCCGTTTGGGTCCATCCTTCCAATTTCCTAACTAGGCTTTATTCCTTGGACCATTTAATTGAGCCTCATTTTTTGTATGTCAATAATTACCCCCCCAATATGACAAAATTAATATCAATTTATTAATCTTTGTAATATTCTTCTTTTGTATTTTCTAGTGATACTTGGAGTCCTAAAAGGGCCGATAATCCCAATCATTATTTTCGTTTGGCGGTAACTCTTTACATCCTAAAAAGTGTAATATCACACAACTCCTATAAACCAAAGGATACGCCACTTCATCGCGCCATTATACCCACATTTTGCATCGCGTGCTTCATTTTCTCCTATAAAGATCATTGTTCATCTTCTTGCTTCTCTGCTACGCTTCTCAAAAAACCCTCACTAAGATTGTAACTTGTAGCAAATGGCGACTTCACAGAGCTCTTTCGACAATTCCCTTAGTTTCAAAGACTTCCAAAACCTCCTCACCAAGCCGTATATAAATCCAATTCCTCTTTCACAAGCTAACCCTGACCTCCATGAATTTTACCTAGGTCCGTCATTTAATGATGCTGAATCCGTTGGGCAAGCGGCGATGGGCCAGCTATTCCCTTGCACTCAAGATTTTCTTTTTCTGAACTCTCTGCTGCTAAAGCCAATCCGCAAGAAAGGTATTCGCACTTGACCCAAAACTGATATTACTTTTCGTCTGTGGCATGCATGTATGGTAAATCATGGCCCTACCAAAGCGATTTTTGATCTTGCTAGAATTTCAGATTTATTAGAAAACGTTCTTCGTCCCTAATCTATGATGCTGTTCTTTTCCCTATAGTCTTAAGTTTCTGGTATTCTGAGTATAATACTTTTATTTTCCCGCTTGGCCCAATGTCTATTACTCTGAGGGATATTGGAGTCCTAGTAAACCTTCCACCCTTGGACGATACCATTCTCCCCATTTTGGTTACTAGCGCTGGCCTAAAATTTGAGAAAAGACTCACTAATTCTTACTCAGCCATGCAAGAGCTTTATAATAATTCTGGTGCTGAACCTACTCATGCTGAGCGTGTCGCTTTTCTCTGAGTTTGTCTTTATAAATACATTCTTTGTGTGCCCAACCTTAAACCTTCCATGAGTTATTTGCCCATAACGTATGAATTAGTGCATGGTAGGCCTTTAAATCTTTGTTCATTATTCTTAGCCACCTTTTATAGAGGCATGACTTCCCTCCAATACCAGTTAAGGTATGGTGCATCTCCTACTAGCAGCGGGCCTCTTTAGCTCACTTAATTGTGGTTGAGAGCATATTTTCCACCACTTGGTGCTCCATCCACTCCTCCTCGATCTATCAGCTGTTACGGGCTGACCATAAACCAATTGAGCCCTGTTAATATGTCTAACATGGATGTTTTCTCATTCTTTTATAGCTTGAATTCAATCTTTTCCTTTTTTTCTTTTCCTGCTCATTCAATTCCAAACTACGTGCAACCTTTGTCTACCATGGATAATGTGAGCACTTTTTTGCCCATTTGGGCACAATATTTGGTTGGGAAAGAACTATTCCATGATATCTTAACCAGAACAAATGCGAAGGCATGGGTTGAGATATATGCTCCCCAAAAGAACTATTCCACGATATCTTAACCAGAACAAATGCGAAGGCAGGGGTCGAGATATATGCTCCCCAGTTTTTTCCCCGTCAGCTTGGTTTTGGCCAAACGTGTCGGTTCCTCCCTGCTTTTCCAAGAGCCTAACAGACTGATTCCATACTGATGTCCGTAATACTCTTTTGACAAACAGTTTCTCATTAGCCTCTTTAAACCCTACTATTGCTATTCATCCTCTTTTTTAACAACTTTGGCCTTCTGTGTAACGTATGCTATTTACAACTGATGCTAACCGTGCCTTCCACTTGCTAGAATGGCCTGAAACTTCCTCCACTTCTCCTATTCTTGCCATTCTTGTGTATGTCAGGAATCCCACTTCTCCTTTGAAATCCTCTTTTGTTCACGTTAAACATCTGCTCCTCCATCTAGTTCCCCACCAGCTCAATCGACACAGCCAAAGGTGCTCCCAGCCACAAACGACCAGCCTCAACTTCACCAAGTTTTCTTGATGATGATGCTGATGATGATGATGTTCTTCTCATCGTCAGGAGAAAGATATTTAAGTTTTACTTGATTTTTCAGAAAGGCTCAACTTCTCTTTCAAAGGCTCTAACTTTATCGACCTCTGATCCACCATCTTCTACCAAAACTACCTCATCCAAGTCATCTGACGAAGGGGATTTGCCTAAGGAGAAGGCCATGGTCCCAGAGTCTTTGGTCGCGCAGCCAATCGAAGAATTTCCACCTTCCTAGGGAGCTGATCCCTCATGCCCTGAATCAGCAGGTAATACATGTTTTGTGGTCTTTTCCTTTGTATGTGTTATTGACTTTTAACTCATTATCACTTGATTTTGGCAGACATACCCTTAGAACTATCCACTACGGAAGAGTCTGCTCGTTTGGACAAAGGGAAGTCTCCACAAGTGGTTGGATCTATCGGTGATGTGCCCCATTTTTCCAAAGTTCATGATGAGGTACCCTTTGTTTTATCTTTCATCTTTACTTTATTCGCTGTAATGAAGATGTTAAATACTTGCATTTTTCTTTACAGGACACTGATGACATTTTACGCTCCATTCAGGATGTATTTACTTCTTGAGAACAAATAAGGGAAAGCGTTGCTTCTCGTTCCTTTTCGGCCAGTTGTCCTTCTGCTTCAACTGCCGCTTTCTCAAAGGAAAACATGAACATTCTCAAACAATTAGTGCTTGAATATATCTCTTTTATGGATCTGAATATCAACAAAGCTAGTGCTTCTAGCTAAAGAGAAAAGTTTGATCTTCTAAGTGCAAAAATGGCTCAAACACTTGAGCTTCCCTCGCTTAAAATTTCAGTCGACTTTAGGCTGATGTTGAAGATCATCCACTCAGAGATAAGCTCTTTGCTAACTAGAAATGTAGAATTGAAGGCCAAGAAGACTCAGTATCTCCATGCTATAACCGAAAAAAAGTCTTTACTTCAAGAGATTGAGAAGACCAAGAGCAATTTACACAAAATCTCCTTTGAAGTTATGGTCGAAAATTCGATGATAATGTTCCTGACTGCAGAGATGAAGGCACTTCAAACAAGAATAGATGACTGTAAGGCTAGGTTAGCCACTAAGAAGCGCACTGCTTCCGAGGAGGTCGAGCGAAGCAAATCTTTGTTTGATCTTTACTCTAAACTGGAAGTTGATGAGGGATTAATGATCGAACTATCCACTGCTTTCGATGAGCAGCACGGCGAATGGGAAAAGCTTAGAGAACAAATGCGTTCCCTTTGGGGCAGGCTGTAACTATATTTTGAGCTTTCTTATAGAACTATTAAGTCTCACACTTCTTTTAAGTTCATGATAACGGCCACTGTTAGCTACAATGTAATGATGTTTATTAATAGAATGACCATTTTACTGACTTGTGTGGTGGCCTTTGCATAGATTTCTGAATAGCATGATCAACACCCCCAAACATTTAATTACTAACCTCGTGCTATATTCATGTACATTTTCCCTTGTGGGATCTTTATATGGAATAAAACTTTTGGTATTCCGATTTGTTTCTTCAAGATTTGGACCTTCAATTTTGATTACTATGCGTGTATATGACCATTCGCCTTTAAGCCTCTATAAAGTTACGTCTTTGTTACACATTCGTTATCTTCA